TGTAGAACACAGGACCCGTAGAACACAGGACCCGTAGAACACAGGACCCGTAGAACACAGGACCTGTAGAACACAGGACCCGTAGAACACAGGACCCGTAGAACACAGGACCTGTAGAACACAGGACCTGCAGAACACAGGACCCGTAGAACACAGGCCCTGTAGAACACAGGACCTGTAGAACACAGGCCCTGCAGGTCCAGGTTCAGTGTTTTCTCAGCAGGATGTAGGTGATGAGCAGGACCAGGCCTGCAGGTAAGATGCTGATCACACATTGGTGGATGGAGAGCACGTGCTCCAGGCTGTGGAGCCCCTCCTCCATGGAGCAGGTGTGGAGGTAGTCATCCCAGCCCCAGTGCTCCACAGGGCCCACACAGAGTCCAGCACCAGGGTCATGGTGAAGCAGGGGTACCGGCTCTGCTGCAGCTCTCAGGTTCTGTTCAGTAAAAACATCAGAACCACAGACTCACATTGATTATTCATCATGTTCCTGCAGTCAGTTTAAACACTTTTTACCTGTAAACWTTGTACAAGAACCTGGTGTTCAGATGAAACAGGAAGTTCTATAAAAACTAAGTTTTCATCATCAGAATGTCATCAAACATCAGTAACAACATGAAGGTTCAGACTGTCAACTTCTTACAAACATCTCATTTAGTTTGATTTATTAGCTTTATTTCCTGTTAGCTACAGGCTAACAGCAGCTAGCTAACGAAACGCAGTGCAGTGACTAAAAGCTGCAGCTTTAAGCCTCATTATTCCCCRTAAAACACATTAGACAGACGGAACCAACACCCGGTCCATTTCTTTACGGTATTTTTACCGAAGCTTTGAGCGGTGCAGATCCAATCACTTCCGGGTCGGACTTCCGGTTTGTTTGAACATTTCCTTCAGTTTGTTGTAACCATTAAAACATTTSTCTAAAATCTAATTTAATCTGTTTGTTCTGTAGACACCAGGTGAAGGTTGGACTCGGAGGAAAACTCGGACATKTTCAGGAGAAAACCATGAACTGGACCAGAACCGACCCGGTCCTGCCGGGCTCTGATGGTTGGATCAGGACAGACCGTCAGGGCGACACCGTCAGGCGCGGTGGCCAAGTGGTAAGGCGTCGGTCTCGTAAACCGAAGATCGCGGGTTCGAACCCCGTCCGTGCCTGTCCTGTGGTCCGTGACCAAACCCGTTTTTACTGAAAACAAAGGTTAAAATGTTCATTTTATAATGTTCAGTCTTTATGGAATTAAAAACAATGACAGGCTGTGAGTACTTTTACTGTGTACTGAGTGAATAAATACATAAATAAATACACAAATACATAAATAAATAAATAAATAAATAAACAGTTTGAAGAGCTCCTGAAAGTCTGACATTCTTAAAACTTACCTTAAAAACAACGAATCAAAGCTTGATTTAAGGTTGACCTTTACCTGCTCTGACGGCAGAGACTTCCTGTCCACCAGAGGGCGCCAAACACACCTGTCCAGGTGATGTGACGTTCACGGTCAGGTGGGCGGAGCCAGAGCAACAAAACCCACCTCCACGACTCCTTTCTTTGGTGGGAAACAAATAAAAATAAAAAATACAAAAGGAAGGTTCTGGTTTGTTCCAGAACCTTCWGCGATGTTAGGCCCATGTACTGATTTGGACTCGGTACCGAGGATGTGGACACAGATCTGGGTTTGGTTCTGCAGAGTCCAGTCTCCAGTCCAGAAGGTTTGAGGAACACAAACAGAACCAGAAAGTCTGCAGGGTCCAGAGGGCCCAGATCCTCCTGGTTCTGATGGTCAGGTTCATCAGTGATCCTCTGGTTGGTTCTGAGTGGTTCTTCAGTCTGGATCAGTTCTGAACAGAACCTGAACCAGGCTGTGTTTCAGTAAAACTCTGACCCGGCTCAGGTTCTGGTTGAATAAAGCAAATTCAACATTTTAAAGGTCAGAGATGAAAGAAACCTGAATGTCGTTAATTATTACTTATGAATAAACTTTATTTATTAGAATCAGAACAGTTTTATGATTCTTTTAAACGTCTCCTTGGATTCTTACAGTAAAAAAAGCTTTTTAATTTAAAAAAGGCAACAAAAGAAACTGATTTTAAATAAATAT